AGGGACTTATCTTGACCTGTTTTATCTCCCGCTAATCATCTGGTCATCTCAATTCCCACCCCCTCGACCTTCACCATCTGTTCTCCGGCCCCTGACCCCACACTCTTAACCCGACCCCTAACCCATCCCTCTCGACCCCCCCAACACCCACCTATCCCTCGGCCGCAACACCGTCCTTTTGACCACCACCACCTCACCTCCTCTATGTCTTATCTCCACCCCACGATCCCTCACATCCACCCATTAACCCCTAACCTCACCCCTCGTGACCCCATCCACCTACAACCCACCTACCTACCACCACCACAACTATGACCTCCCAGCTGTCACAGTGCTTACCACAATTGCGTAGTATACGCTCCGGTCTAAGGTCACTGCCTCACACACGTGTCGGTTCTGGTAAATACACGAACTTGTATAATAATAACAATAATAATAAAATTATTATTATTATTATTATTGAGAATCTTTGGTTCAGGATGGCGGGATCGAACCCTCATCCTAGACGCAACCCGTCCTCGACTCAAGTCCATTCCATCCAGCGGTCGACCCCCACAGACGCATTCATAAATTTTAACATGTTGTTTATTAAAAACAGGGATTTTCTCAAATATTAATGAATGTTATAACACATTAGCATATTGTGCATATATAGGTATAGGTTAGGTTAGGTGTTTAGGTTCTGTTGGCGATTATTTGTATTTGTAGTACGTGGGTGAAGTATTTACAGCGTTGTGGTTCGAACAAAATTCGTCAGTGAAGCACTTGTTCCGGAAGTGTTCGAACGAAATCAGTTGTGAGTCGTGTGTAAACCGTTTTTCATTCATAAACAGGGGGTATGGCGGGTGCATAGAATCACTTTTGGGTCTTTGTTTGGAGGACGGGCTGCTAGACGCAGGCTTGCCATGGCATATCACAGCCCGTCCTTCAACCAGTCCTTGCATTCAAAGATCCAAGCTCGTTATTCCAGCCGCCAACCCCCCCTGATTATGAATGAAAAGCGGTTTACACACGACTCACAACTGCACCGCTCCTGTGCCAGGTAAGTCCACTACGGGCTCACCATAGCCCGTGCTACTTGGAACTTGTTCCGAGTAGCTGAATCTATAACAACAACAACAACTCACAACTGATGACGTCCGAACACTTCCGGAACAAGTGCTTCTCTCGCGTCCTCTGTTCGAACCACAGTTCTATAAATGCTTCACCCACGTACTTCAAATACAAATAATCGCTAACAGAACCTGAACACCTACCCTGCGACCTTGAGGTTATCTTGCGATGATTTCGGGGCTTAGCGTCCCCGTGGCCCGGTCGTCGACCAGACCTCCTGGTTGCTGGACTGGTCAACCAGTCTGTTGGACACGGCTGCTCGCAGCCTGATGTATGAATCACCGCCTTGTTGAGGTGTTTATCAAGTTCTCTATTAAGCACGGTGAGGGGTCCTAACATAACCTAACCTACACCTAACTATACATAGAATTTATGTATATTAATATTAATTTATATATTAGAACAAACCAATTTTTAATACACAGTTTATTAAAATTGATGAATGCTTCTGGGGAGGACGGCCGATGCTTTAACCAGCCTAGTGTGGGGACAGGTTGTGTGGTCCAATGGTGAGGCGCGCGTATAGGGTCTCTCAGGCCGCAGGTTCGATCCCAGCACCCTGCGCAAGAGATTTTCTCAGATATCATGACAATGAGATGTGATTGTGCATTAATAATAAACATTATTTTATTAAAATTATTAAAATTAAAATTATTTTACATAGTAACACGTTACAGTGTATAATTAGCGGGTACAGAAGTTGTATTTTTACATAAATACACAGTTTCGGGTATACTTTTAACATATTAATCAATAAGTCTACAGACTGTATTTTACTAGTACATATACTAGTACATATGGGAGTCGGTCGGCCGAGCGGACAGCACGCGGGACTTGTGATCCTGTGGTCCTGGGTTCGATCCCAGGCGCCGGCGAGAAACAATGGGCAGTTTCTTTCACCCTATGCCCCTGTTACCTAGCAGTAAATTAGGTACCTGGGTGTTGGTCAGCTGTCACGGGCTGCTTCCTGGGGGTGGAGGCCTGGTCGAAGACCGGGCCGCGGGGACACTAAAGCCCCGAAATCATCTCAAGATAACCTCAAGATATAGTTTTAGTACTAGTAATTTTTTTGCTATAATGTACCTATTATTAATTCTGTTTAAGACGTGCCCGAAACGCTATGCGTGTTATGTTCTGTCTACAAATTCTATACTTTATATAAACTCTTATACACACTATACCGTTTGTATGCACACTATACTGTTTGTATTTAGATCGTCTGAATCTAAATAGATTTAGGAAAGACCTGGATAAGTACAGGTTCAGTACCAGGGGTTGTTGATTTGTGTGACCAATTACTGCGTAACATAATAGAAGTAGGATCCCTTGATTGTTTCAAGCGTAGGTTAGACATGTATAGGAATGGGTTTGAGTGGATATAAATAGGAGCTGCCTCCTGTGGGCCAATAGGCCTTCTGCAGTTACCTTCATTCTTATGTTCTTATAGCGTTATCTTGAGGTTATCTTGAGATGATTTCGGGGTTTTTTAGTGTCCCCGCGGCCCCGTCCTCGACTAGGCCTCCACCCCCAGGAAGCAGCCCGTGACAGCTGACTAACTCCCAGGTACCTATTTTACTGCTAGGTAACAGGGGCATAGGGTGATAGAAACTCTGCCCATTGTTTCTCGCCGGCGCCAGGGATCGAACCCGGGACTATAGCGTATGTGAGACTATAACATACTAATGTTATGTGCTCTCACAGGCTGAATGTACCTTATTGTATATATAAATAAAGTATATTAAATAGACGTTTTGATTAATCTTCCTGTTAGTTCAGGAGATGAATGTACCCACGGCCTTGTCTCTGTGATACTTTTAGTTATACTTTAAGATAGGACAGTAGTCTACATTCTCAACTCGCAACTAAGGATCCAAGATTCGACAGAGACGGTTGAGTACGGTTTTATCTCACCAGAGGACTCTTTTTTTTTTTTAGCCAGTGACTAAAATAGGTACACGGGGGATAGGGAACTGTTGTGGGGTTGCATCCTGGGGAGGGTCATCAGTAGGGAAGCTCCATCGACCTATGGAGCTTCGCCTTCACAGGCGTGGAGTCTACGGTTCGAGTCTCCTAGAGCCCAGGTGAAGGTAACCTGGATAGGCATAAATCGACCTGTCCTCGACTACGGGAAGAATTACGGGCTCACCATAGCCCGTGCTACATGGACACTTCGTCCTGAGTAGCTATTTTTTTTTTTTTTTTTTTTTTTTTTTTTTGAGATATATACAAGAGTTGTTACATTCTTGTACAGCCACTAGTACGCGTAGCGTTTCGGGCAAGTCCTTAATCCTATGGTCCCTGGAATACGATCCCCTGCCGCGAAGAATCGTTTTTTCATCTAAGTACACATTTTACTGTTGCGTTAAACAGAGGCTACAGTTAAGGAATTGCGCCCAGTAAATCCTCCCCGGCCAGGATACGAACCCATGAAACTACGGGAAACTCGTAGTACCGTTGACTTCGTTCTCGGCTCATAATCGGGGATCCCGGAATCGATTCCCGGGTGGGACGGAAATGGTTATGGACACTTTACCTTTCACCTAATGCCTCTGTTCACCTAGGAGTAAATAGGTACCTGGGAGTTAAGCACCTGTATATTGGGGGGTGGCTTGCCAGTACACCTTCAGAACGCAAGTGAAACAATGTTAATTTTAGCATTTTAATGGAAATTTCCTTTGCCTTATCTTACTAAAAATGTTAATTAAGGAATCATACTCAAGGTTGCCCGTTAGCTGTACGCGATTTGGGGGATTTGTAAGAAATTGTTTTAATATAAATCCCATTGCCGGGACAGGAAGCCTGTGTGTGTATATATAAATTTGAGCTTGTTTCGAGGTCCTTCAAGGTCGAACTACTTACTCATTTCTCCAGCATGCAACCGTTGCCTGACTCCCTGGGTTCCTATTTACTGTTTGGGTGAACAGAGATATCAGGTGAAATGAAACGTTCCCAACTATTTCTATCCTCCCCGGAAGTCGAACCCGGGATCTCTGACTGTGAGTCGAGAACGAAGGCAATTGTACCTGGAGATCCTATAATAATGATTGACCTTGATCAAGCCAGCTATAGTGGGTCTCTGATTGTAAGCTGTAGGGGTGGGTAGCTGTGATAGAGATCCTAACGAACTCTATTGAATAGATACCGTACTCGATTGAAGAGATACCGAACTATCAAATAGATACCGAACTCTATTGAATAGATACCGAACTCTATTGAATAGATACCGAACTCTATTGAATAGATACCGAACTCTATTGAATAGATACCGAACTCCATTAAACATGCACTATAACTGCATGATTTGAGTACAGCAATAAAAAAAATGCCTTCTGTAGGGTTCTTGGAAAGTTATAATAGTGATATTAATATTTTATTGAGAAAATGTACAGATAAATCTGATTGTAGTAATTTCATCTGTAGTAGTTATTAATATTTTGGTTATAAAACTATTATATACTATATAATCAGGTGCAGAGTTAATGACATGTCTTTGTTAGCATTATTATGTGCTTAAGTTAGTACATTATTGGGGTAATAGCTTATACTTAAGTTCGAACACTTGAGAAGGGTTGAGACGGATTAAAAACAAAAAACGAATGGTACCATTTTAATCGCTGATCACTCCACTTTTATCAGCCACTTAATATGCCACACACACACACACATACATACCTTCACAACCAGGAACGCCTTACCCAAGATAATATCGTCTGGAGATAGCAAAGCCGAGTCTGTCGGCGAGACGTCGTTGCTTTACATATTTTCGGGACTTCGGGCGTGTTGCTGCGCCATTATTGAACCCGGCAGGCGGGGGGTGGGGGGGGGGATGAAGGGGAGGGGTGGCGTACGGTAGTGTCTTGTCGGTTGCTATGGTGAAGCCTTTCACTCCGGGCTTCTTATCGCGGGACCAGAATGTGTATATAAGGAGATGGCAGCGTGATATTTAGCAAGTCTTGGAACGCCCGGTGCTGAGCACAGGTAGCTGCAACTTCTCTAGTCTAGTCTACAGTCTTCTCCGTCACTGTTCTGCAATGAAGTAGGTGTCGGCTCAGAGTCCTAATGTCTTAAAATGCTTAATTCTAACCATTTGGTTGCTGCCATGGTTGTTAAAGATATCCTCCGAGTCATGTAATGATATTAACGCGTTACTAATATATATATTGATGACTAGTTCATTTATAATGAACTAGTATATGGTTCTAGTTCGGGCAAAAATAATATAGTTGCCAGAAACGCTATGCGTACTAGTGGCTTTAGGTATTGTATGTACGAGCTCTATCTTTAAATTCCAACATTATGTTTGTAACTCATCTTCCATATATGTACTTTACCTGAATACAAAATCTAAATCTAATAATGTAATATTACTCAATGGTTTTGTGTAAGAACTTCATTAATTTTTTTTTAATTTTGTTATTTTATTTCGTACTCTATAGCCGTAATTTAGTGTGTCATTTATTACAGACTCTATATTGAATATGTGAATATGTGACAGAGACACATAAGTCTCAGGAACTAAACTCCAAATTCATATACCTAAGCAAGTTACAGCCTGATAAACTAGTTATATACACAGTTAATGTATATATCAATAGTCTTTTATTGCACAGTTGGTTCAAGAACTGGACCACAACAGTTTCTAAAGCGAGCAATTTACATTTGTGGTTCGCCAGTTACATATTTACTGATCACACACCCACACCTACCCAGTGGGCGGCGGAGGAAAGTTTACCTGAATTTACCTTAGGGCCACTAATACTCTAGTGGCCTTAATGAGGATGTAACGGTTCTTGGTTACGTAAAGTATGGTGACAAATAAACACAGACACTAAGATACTATATATATATTTGGTCGAATATACAGAAGTACACAGGTGATACGTTGGTGTGAGTTGAGCGCACTGAGCGTTGGTACAGTATCTCGCAAGTGTCTGCTCTAGACCACACTTGAAAGTAGACTCTGGTTAATGTTTGCTATCCTGCTGCTTATATGCCCGGGCAACGCCTCTCCTCATTCATCTCCAAAGGTTGACAGGAACATTAACACTATATTTGGAGCGAGTATATTATTGGGATAATCTACTCGCTACAGAACTCCCCCTCCCAGGGGATGAAAGGAAAAATACTTGATCAAGGAACTTAGCTGGTCGGCGAATTGTACGCCCTGCTCGCGTTACATAACCATCAAAGTTAACTTCCTCCTCTTCGCTGATGTCATCTAACTGGGGTCGTAGGGTGGGAGGTCGCACAGGATCGTCCGTCGTCGTAGGATCAGGTTGTGGTGCGGCTGGTAACTGGGGTTGTAGGGTGAGAGGTCGTACAGGATCGTCCGTTGTCGTAGGATCAGGTTGTGGTGCGGCTGGTAACTGGGGTCGAAAAGTGAACTGCGTAGTCGGCGGATGTGTCTCTGGATTTAGCAGTGTCGTAGACGTTGAGACGAAGCCTGGAGCAGAGCAGAGAGCTGAGTGAGGCCGGAGTCGTGGAGCTCTATGTGGGAGAGCTTGGCGGCTCGATTGAGATTTGTGAGTGTCTAAACTCGGGGAGCGAGAGCGTGGCGGCTCGATGCGGTCGTAGTCTGTGCTGTCTGCTCTGTGTCGAAGCTGTAGCGTCTTGGGTTGATTAGGACTGTACACGCCGAGTACTACATTGTTGACTGTGGAAATTGTAGTCTGGTACCAAAAGATGTAGGCAGTGTGTGGACAAGCTCGGTGTAGCAGGAGAGAAGAATGTGCATAATTGTTGCGTCCTTGGGTCGCTGGTGGAGCATTTAGATCCGGGGCGGATGGGCTCGGGCACCAGGACATTAGGAGGTAATGTAGGCACGTAGTTAGGACAACGAGGTAATCACATCTAGAGCTGAATTGTCCTGAAGGCGACGAAGTGTCGGAAACGCAAGCTGTAAGTCCTGTACTGCGCAAAGAGCTTGAGTCGGCCGAGTATCAAAATGCAGTGAACGTGTAGACGAATCTGATGACAGAGCAGCTGTCGTGGGCGTAGGACGAGCAGTGCCCTGGCAGCGACGGAGAGTCGGCAGGACAAGCTGTAGATCCAACATGATGTAATCATTGATGAGGCTGTCAGATGAGTGAGTAACGATCGTGGAGCAGCAAGCCGTAGTAGATGAAAATGCAGAGATGGACGCGATGAAAATAGCTGTGGCGAGGGTGTTGGCAGTGTTCCATCACAGCAAACAGTAGCAGTAGAGGTCCAGTGAGAGTCCATGTTGTAGTCCATCGTGGCTGGGTATCGTCGAAACTTCGTGAAGGTCGAAAATAGCCTCCATCTGCATGAACCAAAATTCTGAATCATCTGCGTTGTATGCTGGAAACCTGGTAGATAAATCCATGACGAAGATCTAGTTTGTGACTAGGTGTTCTTTTTCACTCACTGGGTCACCAATGTAACGGTTCTATTGTTACGTAAAGTATGGTGACAAATAAACACAGACACTAAGATACTATATATATATTTGGTCGAATATACAGAAGTACACAGGTGATACGTTGGTGTGAGTTGAGCGCACTGAGCGTTGGTACAGTATCTCGCAAGTGTCTGCTCTAGACCACACTTGAAAGTAGACTCTGGTTAATGTTTGCTATCCTGCTGCTTATATGCCCGGGCAACGCCTCTCCTCATTCATCTCCAAAGGTTGACAGGAACATTAACACTATATTTGGAGCGAGTATATTATTGGGATAATCTACTCGCTACAAGGACAGAAAGCCGGTGGTTTGTCAAAGATCCCCCCTATTTGTCCTGGTGATTATTTTTAAGTTAGTTTTCAAAGTGCAACAGAATTTTGGCATTTACGCCTTCGGCGGGTAGGCTGTTCCATGGGTTTATTTATTTTATATAACCCTGTGGGTGAAAAAGCATCTCCATGTGCATGCACGACCTCCAATAAGTAAACGTTGTATATTTTGTTAAGATTTCTGGTAGTATCTCATTTTAATGCAATAAACATCTCCAGAACACTTGCAGTAGAATTATTTCTAAATTTTAAAATTTGTTCATATTCTAAAATACATAGGGACGGACGGTAACGTGAATAGTTCTGCTGACAAAGCGTTTACATTTGGTCAGATCGACTTCAGTTTAGTTATCCCATTTTGTAAATTGCTTTAGACAATTAAGCACGTATGTAACAGTTATCCTACTGCCGATTCAAAATTGGCGTTTTCTCAAATATAAGTTAATGCTATTACATACTAGAATGTGTTGAATAATCCCAACTTTAGTTAGGTTCCGTTGGCTTTTACTGTAATTTGCAGTTCGTGGATGAAGCATTTAGAGGAAGACGCGCTTTTAGATGCCGTTGAGATGCGATTCGAGCATATAATGCGAGTGAAGCATTGTTCGAGAAAAGATGAGAACACAGATATTTGTGAATCATTTTAAATTTATTTTCTTTCATATACTGGGAAGATGACAGATGGATTAAACAGCAAATTATTATCGTTTATGAGGATGGGCTGGGGAATAAGACTCGAGTCTTTTTTTTCACTTGGACTTGGTATTTTTCAGGCTTAAAATGGCAGTTGTGTCCCCAACGGATCAACCCAGACTGACGACCCTTTCGAGACCAGATCTCCAGAAGAAGGTAAATGGGTGCAGCTTCATAACAGCGACTACGGGAAAGTGCACCAGGGCCTCGCCTTTTGTCTTTGTACTGGCGGGTTTTATTTCAGCTTTTCTGACCTTTGCGAGTTCTTTGTCACATCTGGGAGTTGGTATAGGGTGTGGTGGCGCGTCCTAGCTATTGGTAGTATTATGTTCTCTCATAATGGTTGTGTGGTAGACATGGTGGGTTGTGGTGGTAGATGGCAACTGATGCTATGAAGCTTCATGGTTTTCTTATCGGAAATGAAACTTACATATTCTTCCCGGACTTAGTGCCTTCTTTTGATTATTAATTATCAGAACAACACAAAACAAGAACACACACAAAATACAAACACTTTATCAAATACGGGTTGAGATAAAAATGCAAGCTATAAAATATGCACAAGAATACATTAGATAAATTATTCTGATACACAAACAGCAACCAGCAATATCAGCACAGTTAGCTCGCAACTTTTTTTTTCTCGCAACTGATTAAATCAGAATTCGATTTCAGGACAGGTTAAGACGTTTGTGTACATTTCCTTACACCTGATACTTCTGTCCACTTGGCAACTCACCAGGCAGTTGCCAACCTCCTGCCCAGGAGGTAGGCAACTGTTGTGGGTTGTGTATCCTTGGTAAAGTCTGGCCTGAGAGGGCAGCCCGTCCTCCTATGGTTTCCCATCGCCAAGAACACAGTAATTTTAAAGTGTCCACACCTAACCAACCTGTGGACCTAAAACATAAAACGGGACAGTACGTCACTTGCGAGCCATTTACATTTTCAAGTAGACAATTTTTGGCCATATGTAAGCATATGACTGAAATGCGACGTTTTTCGTAAGAGGACAAGTTGGCGAATTGAATTGAATAATCAGGGGGAAAGCGCCAAGCCATTATGACTATATAGCACTTGGAAGGGATCAGGATAAGGACTCGGGATGGGACGGGGAAAAAGGAATGGTGCCCCAACCACTTGGACGGTCGGGGATTGAACGCTGACCTGCACGAAGCGAGACCGTTGCTCTACCGTCCAGCCCAAGTGGTTGGACTACAGGTTGCCGAGAGGGAGCCTAAAGACTTGTGGAGCCTATCAGGGTTACCGACCTCAATAATGGACAGCCTGTCCTCAGGAAGAAGGTACCCTGGATGTAGTTACTTCAAAACCACTATGTAATTAGTGCTATTATCTATTCCCTATTCATGGTTAGGCTAGGTTAAGGTTAGGTTTCATTAGGTTTGATTACGTTAATATATTTTACTATTCTCAAACATGAAATATGAAATTTGAAATCTATTTGAGTATCCCCTAGAATTTTATTTACCGAAAACTAAATTCTTCAAACCGTTTTAAAGAAAACAAGTTAGGGTTAGACTTTTTATATATTAATCATTGATTTATAATCAGCCTGTCCTCAGGGAGGAAATACACTCACAGGTATGGATTGAGAAAGACTTTATAATTAGTGCTATTATCTACTCTCTCTCTATTCATAGTCAGGTCAAGATAATGTAACTTTAGGTTAAGGTTTTATTAGATTAGGTTAGATTTCATTACCTTTGGTTTTGTTAATAGGGTGTGTCATTGATGATAATGTGAAATATGAAAATAAAAAAAATATTTTGTGTACCCTAGAATTCTATTTACAGAAAACCAAATTCTTCAAATAACATGTTTTCAGCATGTATTTTTTTTATTTTAAACCAACAATTTGTAATACAATAAAGTTATAACTTGAGAATAATCTTTATTTAGGACAAAGGTTCACTTGCAAGGTTACATGTAGACTATTACTGGGACCATAATATGCTTTCAGGGCATTACAAATATCTAGATACTGCAACTATCCAGGTGGTTTAAGGGGGGCTATGGTTTCTCATGGTAATGGATTTGGACCAAGGACGAGCTCTTTATAATACAATAAAGCTATAACTTGAGAATTTTCTCTGTTTAGGATAAAGGTTCATTTGATAGTTTAAAAATACAGTAAACTATTAGTAATTTGCTTTCAGACCATCACAAATTTCTAGGTAAATATCCAGGTATTTAACCAGGGTGGCAACTGGCCAATCATTAGAATCACTTTGTCCTGAGGATGACCTGCAATGGGAAATGGGAAACATCACATATAACTATCAGTTGCATAAACAAACAGGATAATATCAGTGGTGTAGTCAATGATGACAAATACTGTATACGAACAGCAAATAACCTTAAATTATCTCAACATATTAAATACCAAAATCAGAGCCTGCATCATCAATACTGGTATTTATTATTATTATCGAGAAAATCCACTAGGACTATAGGTGGGTGCAAACCTATGACCCCAACATTGCCAGTTGCATACTCTACCACTAGACCACCGCTGACTTACAGTCCTAGTGCATTTTCTCATTGATGCATATCATGTTAAAAAATGGGATTTCTATGCAGTTTGGACAAAGGAATGTACTGTATATGGAATCTGAACATTGAGTGATCCAAAACAATACAAGTTGAATTTGTTTCAAAGTAAGGGGAGCAAACTTGAGGATGAAGTAGTGAAGATAAACTCCAGAGACAAACTTTAATGTAAATGTAGAGGTGTCACAGACATTGGTAAATATGGTACATAATAATATGTGGGACCCATGAACACATACAGACATGTAGCCTGCAAGATTCAGAGGCAAGATTTCTGCCTCTTTATGACAGTGCAGTGGCTATCTTATTTATTTATTTATGCATATACAAGAATGTACATAAGGAATGTGAGGATACAAATATGGTAATTACAGTCTTGTAAAGCCACTAGCACGCGCAGCATTTCGGGCAGGTCCTTAATCTAAGAAAATTTTAAGGAGGTAAATACTTGCAAAATTTATAGACAAAAAAATGATAACAGATTACATGAAATGAAAAAAAAAAGATGAGAGAAAATTGTAGGTACAGTATATTAAAGCACATAGGTAGCTAAGATTGATTGCAATGACAGCTTGAATGGTAGTTGACAACAAATTGGTAGGCACAATACAGCAGAAACAATATAAGATTGATTGCAATGACAGCTTGAATGGTAGTTGACAAAAATTGGTAGTCACAATACAGCATATGGCTAGCACATAAAAGAAGACAGCAATGAACACAATGATAAGGTTGTTTGATATTACATAAAAATTAGGAGATTGGGTAACACTAGGTACAGAGCAAATTTAAAGCTCAGTGTAGGAAACTAAGAAGATGAAGTTAGGTACTTTTTGGTTTTGCTTTTAAATAAGGCAAAAGTTTTACAGTTTTTCAATTCACTAGGGAGTGAGTTCCATAGACTAGGTCCCTTAATTTGCATAGAGTGTTTACACAGATTAAGTTTGACCCTGGGGATATCAAAGAGATATTTATTTCTGGTGTGGTGATAATGGGTCCTATTACATCTGTCCAGGGAGAGTTTCAGAGCATGGTTTGCATTTAAGAACAGGGTTTTGTAAATGTAGTTGACACAAGAGAATGTGTGGAGGGAGTTAATATTTAGCAAGTTTAGGGATTTAAACAAGGGAGCTGAGTGTTGTCTGAAAGCAGAGTTAGTTATTATTCTGATAGCAGATTTTTGCTGTGTGATGATGGGCTTAAGGTGGTTTGCAGTGGTAGACCCCCATGCACAGATACCATAATTAAGATAGGGGTAGATTAGTGCATAATATAGGGAGAGGAGAGCAGAGTTAGGAACATAATATCTGATTTTGGAGAGTATACCAACTGTCTTAGAGACTTTCTTAGTTATGTGTTGAATGTGGGTGCTGAAGTTGAGTCTCTTGTCTAGGAATAGGCCAAGAAACTTACCATCATTTTTATTACTGATGTTAATGTTGTCTATCTGTAGCTGAATTGCATTTGATGATTTGCTTCCAAATAAGATGTAGTAAGTCTTTTCGATGTTTAATGTTAGTTTGTTCGTTGACATCCATAAGTGGACTTTTTTTAATTCATTATTCACAACATTATTTAGTGTATGTGGGTTGAGGTTTGAATAGATAAGGGTAGTATCGTCAGCAAACAATATAGGTTTGAGAATATTAGAGACATTGACAATATTAGAGACATCTTGTTTAGTATAATTGAATTGACCTACAAAAGCACAGGAATGTGTAAAAAGGATAATAATACTTTTTGTGAATAAATCTCAATTTAACACAATACACAGAGTAGTGAGATACACTTTTACACAGAGAAGAAATACTATGAATTCATTATACTGTTCACTGAAATTTTTTAACTTGTAATACTGCAGAACACCATATGAAATGTGTCCTTATTGCTTGTTATCAATGATAAACAATATTACAGGTGCTGGGATGTTGATTTTAGTATTTCCTCAGGTCCTGGAGCTTTTATCTCCATTGATACTGACTGAAAACCAGCAGCAGAGGATTCGGGATGTTTTCTTGGACGAGATGCGTCTTGGTCTCGCTGCCAATCCAGAGAAGAAATCCTCGCTACTGATGGAGAACACTTTTATTCCTGAATTACCAGATGGTACAGGTAAGCAATTGTTATACAAGATGTCCAAGAAATGATTGGCTTACTTTACTTGAATTTACCTGACTACCACCCTTTATCTAATGGCTTTGATGGGGTCAGGAATATTTGTCAGAGCACCATCCGTCATTTTTCCCAAGATAAAGATTAAGCCTCCCAATAGGTGGCACGGGCATGAAACTTTCCCGAGGATTTTTCCTACTAAATTTTTATCTACATTAAATTGTCTTGACATTTATGGCTTTGGCAGGAATGTGGTCCCATGGGTTTGTATCCCCTATGGGTGAAAAAGCATCTCCTGATGTTCGTCTTACATAGTGGCTTCTTGAGCTTGAAGCTGTTACCCCTTGTTTTATTACATTTGACCTCTTAAAGAAGTGGTCTGGATTAATATAATCCTCTAACTCGGTAAAAAATCTGTGTCTTGAAGAGTATCTAACCTATTTGGAACTCTATAAATATTTGGTGTTTGGCAAGAAATTCGAAGTGAATGCATGAATATATGAGTAACTATCCATTCACTTTATCATATTATGCAATTTATGTATATTTTGTTTGATAAACTGTTTTAAATTCATTTTATATTTCACCATATTTTCTTTAATTGTTGTGATTCAAATTTATCAACTATGCATTGCATAATTACTGAAACTACATAAGTTGACCTGGAAAATCTTTCCAGGAAAAGATGGCATAATAGCCTTATTGCACATTTTTCAACATTTCTCATACTTTAGTTTGAGTTAAATAGTAAGCAACCAAATTATTTTAGTTGCTCTAATAAGACCAGGGAGATGAATACATTGAATATGTCAAATAACTAGGTAATTTTAAGACATAACTTTAAGACTGATTTTATTTTTAAGACAAATCACTTGCTAAATCATTTATAAACATGTTAAAAGTGTAATTCAACTTGCAGAGGATGGAGAGTACCTGGCTCTTGATCTTGGTGGTACCAATTTCCGGGTAATATATGTTCGCATGAGAAATGGAAAGTTTGCAGAGGAGGTTAGTTAATTATTTATGCAGTATATAAACAACAATATGTTATGCAATATCATATCCAATTTTCAAAATACTAGTAATATTTTTTTTTTTTTTTTAGATTTACATTTAAATCTCATCTCATGTTCTATATGTTAAATAAAATAAAATTTTCCTTCTAGGTCGTAGACTACTTCCATGTTCCTACAGAAAAGCGCCTTGGGCATGGTGAAGAATTGTTTGACTTCCTCGCTGAGTGTATTTCTGAATTCATTCACAAGAGGGAACTTGGAGGTCGAAATTTTCAATTAGGTATGGCCGGTTTTTACTAAGTCATTTCTGCCTCATACAGTATCCTTATCTTTATTTAAGATTTCAGGCCATGCAATTACCTATCCATCACTGGCCTTAACCTGATTAACTAAGTGACATATACACATCCTCCATGACACCGAACCATTGATTTGAGATTTGGCTTTCTTTTTACAGGATTTACCTTTTCCTTTCCAATGACGCAGAAAAGTCTTGATGTGGGCATCCTAGTATCATGGACCAAATCCTTCAACTGCCCAGGGGTTGTTGGCGAAGATGCCGTCAGGATGCTCAACGATGCCATCAGGAGAAGAAAAGATTTGGATATCACAGTTACAGCTGTCCTCAATGATACTACAGGTGAGTGAATGTACTACTGAACTTTGTCATTTAAAACATTGTGTTTATATTTATTTTCTGCCTTTGGACCTGTCCTTTATTTAATACTAGTGTTTATTGAGCTTTCAGTATGTATGCCTCATACAATTGGCTTATTTAGGATAAAGGCTTTATAGTATGGGTGGGACCTTTGACAAGCCACCAGCTTCCTGTCTCTCTAAAGGCCACTGAAGATTATTATCCCTTTGGGGAAGTTCATGTAAAGTATGAGAGGTGTTTTATACAAATTTCTTTAGTTGTAAATTAATTTAAAACAGCATTTAGTTTTCATATGCTATACTAATATATAATCACCAAGTTAAGAGTAGAATTGACTGAATATATTTTATCATTTATTGCATTTATCAATGGTAATTAATTTGAAGTACTGTACTGTATAATGCTTATCTAGTAGACATGAGGGCATATACTGTATAGTGAATTGAACGTTAAGAGGGTTATATTTAGATAGCACTTTTTGAAACTATGTGGACCATTGGACATATAAATGGCATAATGGACAATTAGATAGGATTTGATACTACAGTATTCACTTTATACACCTCAAAAAAATAAAGCTAAAAACCAAAATTAAAATGTTCTTAGGCCTAGTATATATATACACACATATGTACATATATGTACACATATATGTACAGTACTATATTAGGCCTCGGCATGTATTAGGCCTAAGAAGGTTAGGTTAGGTTAAGTTTTCTTTGCAACATCAGAACAAAAACTTCTTCAGTGTATCCAAATTCAACAGTACCGATTTCTACTTTCTAATTGCCTTTTACATCAATGTAAGTACAATGGTCCTCAGCGTTACTATAAGTACTACCTAAACAGGAGGATGGGCTGTTAGATAAGGCTGCCAAGATGTATTTTTGTTTTAACTATACCCTCAGAGGCAAGCTCTGATTTCTTGAGAATATTGAGGTGCCATTGTATATGTATTGATTGATGATATTTGTAGTAGATAAAGGATTTGACTTTTATTTAACAGGAACTTTGGTCATGGGTGCATACATGAACAAATCTTGTGCTCTGGGTATGATCCTGGGCACAGGATGCAACGGCTGCTACATAGAGAAGGTGGAAAGAATTGAAAAATGGCTTGGAAGACACAGTGAAGCAGAGGTCAGTGGCTAATATTTATTTCTAAATGTCTTTATTCTTGTGCATTCATTTTTTAAGTTAAGAAAAACACTTAATTTCTCTCCAGGATACTCATTACTAAAAAACTAAATTTTTTTTTAGTGTAATACAAAAGTCAAGTAAACAGTTAGGGTTACAGTATCATGTGATTGAAAACTAGCACCTAAACGAGCATGCAACAGGCCAGTGACTAATTACTTTAGTACTATAAAATAAGACTACTCAATAGAGCTCAGCCTCACACACCTGGGGGTCCACGGCTCGAGTCTCCTAGAGCCCAGGTGAAGGGAATACTTTTGTACTATTTACTGCAACAGCCCCCCCCCCAAAAAAAACTAATAACTTTATGAAGCATTATAAATAGCTACTGAAAACATATTTTAGAACTCTAAATTGTCTTGCCTCCATGAGCACTGTGCGCCTAGTCCCTACTTGTTTTGTTGAATGAAGTAGTGGTGTTGGGTTTAAGGCCTGTCAACCTTTGGAGGGTTATTAAGGCAACACAAATGCTTCCTGACCAACAAGCACAAATGCTTCAGTCCTGAACTATGTCCAGAACTAAAGTAAAACTCTTAGTGTATATACACTAAGAATTGAGGTGTATCTCTGTATATATATATCACTGTTAAGTTAAGCCTTGGTATGGCATTATATAATGGCTGCTGCCATGGAAAACCTGTGTTGTCACTTACACGGGTTCCTCGGAATGTTCTCGATTGTAATGATATAGAAAAGTCCGCTCGTGTGTACACGGGAAGGCAGGGAGGAACTATCATAACATAACCAACATAACCATAGCATGCTTCCCAACAACAACAACAAAATCATAACTTGTAGCAGTGTTAAGATATTTCGTACATACTACTTTGTGTCTTGTCACCAAACACTCGCACCAAAGCATCTGTAATATCATTATCGCCTACTTGAAAATGTTTGATGGTGGATGCATATTCCTGGAGGAACAGTGACCTCTAATGGTTTTTAACATTTCAACATTTTGTGTGGTTGATGAAGATCAGAAGGTTGTGACCACCATAGATGGTGAAAAAGAGAGTCCTTGAAGATATCCACCAAATTTTGTAACTGCCAATATGAATGCTAGTGCCACCACCACCACCACCACCACCAATGCAAAGTAGGAGCATTGCTGAGGAGTAAATTATTTAGTGAAGAAGTACAGATTGATTGAGTGATACCCTCATTCTCATCTTGCAACAGTACAGCTCCTGCACCACCTTTCAGAACGTCAACTTCTACCTGGAAGGGTTGGTTGTATTACAGGCTGGCCAACACAGGAGATGAGGAAAGCAGCTCCTTCATGTCTCTATTTTTCATAATCACTTAGTAAATAAATGACAGTACTGTATTGAGAATGACAAACATACATGTCAAGGCAACAGCTGGAATAATTATATTTTCCTTTCCCTGTTGCATAACAGAGCTCACTAGCCGGTATGTGTTTACTTTGTGGCTTACAGTTAAGACTGCTGCTTTGAAACAAAACGTTTAAGTTTCCACTTTATGTCAGAGTGCAGAGTGAAGGACGTTGTTATAATATTAGAAGTAACTGAACTTCTTTATGTGGGTGACAGGAATACAGTAGTGTTTTTTTTTATGATCAGCTTCCCTGTTCTTCCTGTTGAGTTTTGACAAGTGTATTTTGAACACTTTGAGAGGGTCCCGGTAGTACAGTCGGGTTCGTTTTTGATGCACAATCGAGAATTCCGGGTTTGAATCCCAGGCAGGACAGAAATGGTTGTTCACATTTCCTTTCACCTAATACCTCTGTTCACCTAGCAGTGAGTAGGTACTCAGGAGTTAGTCAGCATGTTATGGGGTTGCATCCTGGGCGAGGTACCTCAATAAAAGCCAAACTTGTTTGAATACAATGTGGGTTCTTGTCTCCCATCACAATGAATTATATAAATAATTTTTAAATAGTCAATATTTTTTGGCATTGATGGTTTTCTTTAGGTCTATTGCTCTTTTTATTTCTATAGGTTTGAAATAAACACTTTGAATTTTCTTATAATTATTGCTCTTTCCATTTATGTATGTGTATTCTGGCCAGGACTGTAAAATATGAGAATGATGAGAATGAGAACACCCCTCTGCTTTGACAAATTTATTAAAAAATGTAAAAAGGAACACGGTAAATAGACTTGAAAATAACATTAGAAGAAAATGTGTCATCATTTGTGTCCCATTAGATCATTAGATCACAAACAAAGTACGTGCCAGCATTTGAGTGTGGCAAGCCACAATCTACTGCAGCATTACATTAAGGAAATTTATTGTTTTCAAAACATATTCGGATGAACCAGCTGAATACTGATTGCATACATAAATGGTATTATATTAAAATATTTTGTTATACGACTGCTAATTGCACAGATTGTGGCAATTCTTAAAACTAACAAGCCAGCATCTTAAAATTTACATACTGTATTTATCATGTGATAGTTGATAGTCATTAGTATGACATTGCTAATATACTGGAAAGTTGGGGGAAATGTTTTCTTTTATTTATAATTCCAGTTTACTCATAGCATAAATTAATCATGTGAGTCCTGGGATACTTACATGCATAGCTAGGGCGAGCGTTATGATATAGTGTGTACATTGTGCATGTCTTCACAGATGGTTGTGGATATTGAGTGGGGTGCGTTTGGAGATAATGGTGTTCTCGACTTCATCAAAACTGAGTGGGACAGAGCTGTTGATGAACAGTCACTTCTTGTTCACTCGTACACGTAAGAGCAATACAGTATTTTATTACAAATTGCCATTTAAATCAAAATGAATAAAATTTAAAATATACTAGAAATAAAGTAAATACTGCTGTATTATGAATTTCTTAAGATTTAATTTACATGTTGTTTGGTCATAGACATTTTAACTTTAATAAGAAAAAGATTGAAAAATTTGTTAAAATACAAAAAAACTATGTCTAAAAAACTATATAAAACTATATAAGGTTTAAAAGGAACTCAAGATTTCCAATCATTATATTGTTTTAGTTATACATTTTGTTGGTTTCCTTGCCTGCCTCCACTTGACACAAAGCAGGCTGTCACTTGGAAATTTCTTGATCTGATCATAAGAACATAAGAACATAAGAACAAAGGTAACTGCAGAAGGCCTATTGGCCCATACGAGGCAGCTCCTATTCTATAACCACCCAATCCCACTCATATACTTGTCCAACCCGTGCTTGAAACAATCGAGGGACCCCACCTCCACAATGTTACGCGGCAATTGGTTCCACAAATCAACAACCCTGTTACTGAACCAGTATTTACCCAAGTCTTTCCTAAATCTAAACTTATCCAATTTATACCCATTGTTTCGTGTTCTGTCCTGTGTTGATACTTTTAATACCCTATTAATATCCCCCCGGGCAAAAATGTAATAGAAATTTTTAGATAGAAATAGATAGTAAATAGAAATAGAAATAGAAATAGATAGTAATAGATCTTGGGTTATTATACAATTAAGAATATTAATTATTTCTTGTTTTCCTATGTACTGTACTTTGCTATATAGTATATATATATTAGTGGTATTTTCACCAAAAAATTGCAATAAGAAGTTTTGTTAGTATCTCGGTAGGAAAGTATTATACAGTAGTTATCATCACTGGGCCTACTGTGCAGTACGGTAATTCCATGATAGTAAATATTCATATCTTTGTTTTCTTAAGGTTAGATGGTTTATGCGGATGATAACCTTTCCACCGACACACACAAAATAGGGGGTGGGGTGGGGGTGCATGATGACCAAATAAAATTATGAAACTATCTCGGCATAAATGTAATTTACTGAGCTTAGAAACTCTACTTGTGGTAGAGTTGATGAACAAATGAACTGGCTTCAAATTTAAGATTAATGACTTTTCTATAACAGGTTTGAAAAATACTTTGCTGGGAAGTATTTAGGAGACCTGTATCGTGAGGTTCTCTTGACACTGGCTAAGAAGGGACTCATATGTGGTGGCAAAACTGGAAAGCTTAACATCCATGGGGCCATTACCACGACAAATGTTTCACGCATTGAGAGGTAAGTTCTTGGGAATAATTGCTGATGGAATAATGAGGTTCTTGCTTTGAGAATTTATAGTAATTTTTACACACAGAAATCACAATAGCGTGATGCATCAAATGAACAAGTGAAATGAACAAATGAACAAAATTTTTTACCATGTCGTAGCTCAGTCGATTAAGGCAGTGTCTGGGATGCTCCCGGACATAGGTTCGAATCCTCTTCACGGCCCTTGTGGATTTGTTTATAGTAATCTTGTTTTGTTGGATTTTTCTTAACTGATGCTTCTGTTCACTTAGCAGTAAATAGGTATAGCGTGTGAAAGTTTTGGGAAATTGTTGTGGGTTGCGTCCTGGAAAAGGACAATTGTTGGCTTAGGGGGACCTTGATAAGGCTAACAAACTACTTCCCAATAATGGCAAATAATAAATTTTATACATACAGTAGTACTGTATAATGTTTGGAAGCAAAATTTGAATAAAACAGATACATGTATAAATAAAAGAGGAGTGATAGGTTGTTATAAAAATTTTTCTTGAATAGAGTTCTTACATTCTTGTAAAGCCACTACTACAAAGTTACAGGAGGCCTGGTTGAGGACTGGGGTGCAGGGACACTAAGCCCCGAAACCATCTCGAGGTAACCACGTATAGTGTTTTGGGCAGGTCCTTAATTCTAATTTTTCCCCTGCAATATGACCCACCAAATCGTTTAATAACCAGGTACCCATTCACTGCTGGGTGAACCGCAGTTAAGAATGGGTGCCTAATCAATCCTCCCCAGGCCAAATCGCTCACGAAGCACGAGGCGAGTGTTACCACTGTGCCACAGGGACTGCAATAAATAAATAATGTACTTGAATTTTTTTTAAGCAGTCAGTTACTGTAGATCAATTCATGAATGAAGTTTCTAAATTTTAATTGAACATTTAAGAGCTGTAGAATAACTTATATTTTCATTTCAGTTGCAAATATATTTATTGCCTCTTGAATAGGCAGATAAATATGGTCCACATTATAATTTAGCATTATACACTATATAATTCACCATTGCTCACAGAAAATCTTTATAACTTTGAAACTAATTTATTTTAAATGTTTTAGGCTTTAAGTGTAAAGGTCTTTGTTTTGAAAGAAACAGTATATTCACATTAGCAAAGATTTTGATTTTAAAACAAAACACAATAGCATGCTATTCCTATACATTATACAGTACTTTATTCATAACATTATTGAAGGCATAAACCAATAGTTGCTAAAGCAATCGTTTAATGCTCCACTTATTTTTCTCTTTTAGATTAAAGTTATTAATACTAGGTAAACAGAATCCAGATTTTATAGTAATAAATAAAATACTGTAATGATATATATACGGTATATAAGTACTGTACTGTATATATAAATAAAACATGTTCTTTTCTCAGTGACGCTTTCAAAGGCATCTTGGAGGAAACAAAGATGGTATTTAATGACATGAATCTGAACTATGACGATGACGACCTTCACATTGCCCAATATGTTGCTGGCATTATATCCTACAGGGGTGTCCTCCTTGTTTCTATATGTAAGTCATATTTCTTTCTGTTCTACACTGATGTTGAAAAATAATAATAATAATAATAATTAATTATTATTTTATTTATAGAACATTATGAGAATTTTATTACAATATTTACATAGTAGGAATTCGTATTTACAGTATTTACAAAGTCACTGATTATGCAGTGTAGATTTTTGCTGCTTAGTTGATACATAAAATGCCTACATAATACATATTCTTTACATCTCTCTTTTTACCTGAATATATCAGTGTGTTACCAACTCTAGTGTTCTCAACAGGAGTCGGGGAGCCGGTGGCTAGTTAAAGAAAAAAATATTATTCTTGATTTTTTCTATCTGAATTTTGAACAGAAGTACTGTACAGTAATGTTTTAGCATGAATGATTTGATGGGTGGTCAATTTCATGGGTTTATTACCTTATGGATGCAAAAGCATCTCCTGTTTTCTGATCTGCATTGTGGTTCGTTGAGCTTGACACTGTTGTCCATTATATAAGTGGCCTTGGATCTTATGAAGAAAGGGTCTGGATTAATATCTTCCAAATTGTTGAGTATTTTCAGGATATTGAGATCAGCCTTTTCATGTGTGATTTGTAGTTTTGTTATCCTGAGGCCACCAATTGTTTCTTGTTTGAGAGAGAGGACTTAATTCTGGGGTAATTTTTCTCCAAAAACTTGAAATAAGTATGGTAGCATACAGTACTAGTAGACACTGTACAACACATTTGTACTTACCAGAAACAACAACAGAGAATATGTGAGTCGAGACTTGGCATTGCGTGATTATTTACTTGAATAGTTACTTAGAGACAGAACTGTCTGTTCATCTGAGGGAGAAGGGGAATTCTCTCTGTTATATGAATGACTTTTAATAACAGTGTCTTGATAACAGTATCTTTTAATACTGTTCCCTGGGTTCCTTATAGGGATTGTTGTTAGGGGAGTTTTCTTGGCTCTCTTTTGCAATGTTTCTTCTCTTCTTATTTGAAAATATATCTGGAGACATCAGGTATATAAAATGAAGAGGACTTTGTTGATACACGTATGGGCTGACTGAGCACATGGGGCGCTTCAGTTTACCAGTGTCTCCCACCTAGTGACGACCATGCTTGATTTCGTTGTGAAGAATTTCATTGTTTTTGTGCTTTTTTGGTTTCTGAACAAGTTCTTTTTATATATCATGCTATGTGTTCCAAGAAAGTCAGTGGTAAAGTTCAACCTAGGAAAATAGTTGTGAGGATAACAATACTGTAGAGGAAGAACAAGAGATCATTCATAGTGAGACAATGTGATGTCTCACTACAGAGACATCACATTGTTAAAGTTTTAACAAGTTTTAAAACATAGGGAAAAAGAAGTGTCTATGACAGATTCTTAGTATGACAATTAAGCAGTGAGCCACAACCAGGTCCTAGTGGTATGCCTGCAAACCATGAGAGAGAGAGTACCCTAGAAATGTCATCACTGCTGTTAAAAAGAAAGAGGGGCTCCCCCTTCAAACACTAACACTTCGACCTAAGGTGCCCCATGGCAAACCATAGAGCTTTGATCTTCGGCCAAAGAGCCAAAGCTCAACCCCCGCAAGCACAACTAGGTGAGTACATCTCCTCCCCCCTTTCCTCACTGTCTTCCATACACCAAAAAGAGTTCTTAATAAAGGTAAGATATACTTGTACCTACTGTAGTACAAAATAGTAGTAGTACAGTGTATGTATAAAATGTATTTTTTCAGTTAATATTTTTGGGGATGTGGAACGGATTAATTCAATTTACATTATTTCTTATGGGAAAATTCATTTCAGTTTTCGAATTTTCGGTTTTCAAATCGTCTCTGGGAACGGATTAAATTTGAAAACGAAGGTACTGGTCGGCCAAGCAGACAGCAAGCTGGACTTGTGATCCTGTGGTCCTGGGTTTGATTCCAGGCGCCGGCGAGAAACAATGGGCAGAGTTTCTATGCCCCTGTTACCTAGCAGTAAAATATGTACTTGGGAGTTAGTCAGCTGTCACGGGCTGCTTCCTGGGGGTGGAGGCCTGGTCGAGGACCGGGCCGCGGGGACACTAAAAGCCCCAAAATCATCTCAAGATAACCAAGATACCACTGTGCTTGATTTTACTTACATATGTATTCAAGAACATACAGTATATTTGTGAACATTGTATTACAAAATAATTGCACGAACCCTATACTCGTCATGTTCTGAAAGCATGAAGAGTACAGTTGGCTTTGTTCTCAGCTTACAGTGAGGGATCCCAGGTTTCGATTCTCGAGCAGGACAGAAATGATTAGGCACATCTCCTATCACTGAATGCCTGTGTTGACTTAACAGTAAATACGTATCTGCAACTGTTGTTGGGTTGCATCTTGGGAAGGGTCAGTAGTTCGACCTTGGGGGGGAAGACCTCGATACAAACCAGAGTATTTGTATGCTGAGGCTTCTCGCTTCCCAACAAAACTAATTATAAATTGCAGCATCAGCATACGAGTGCATCAGTCAGCTGGTGGCTGCAGACAGGTGGGTAACTGTTGACAACTAAACATGCACTTCTTTACTCTTAGAATGCAAATGTGTTAAGTTTTTTCTTCAGATGTATTAAATTATTAAATAATTTTGTATTCAATTATTCAAATACATTTTTCAGAGTGATTAAAATATATCTTGCACACACAGTAATTGGTCTTCTGCTCGTGAGAATGCAGCGTGACCACAGCACCGTAGCTATTGATGGATCTCTGTTTAAACACCACCCAAGGTTCCGTCCTCTTATGGAGAAGCTTATCTCGGAGTTTGCCCCTGGCTGCTCGGTAAGTAAATTTAGATACCGTATGTAGGCCAACATAATTTTCTTCATGTATAGCATACAAATCACTAATGTGTATTACAAAGTTAGATATTTTTACTCATGTTTGGATAAAATAAATGAAAGATAATTTTATGTACAGATGCTGTTTCCATAGCTTTTATTTTATGTATTATGAGTCCTGTAGTATAGTAGTCTACATCCTTGACTCATAATCTGGGATCCTGGGTTTGTGCCCTGAGCAGAACAGAAATGCTTGGGCATGTTTCTTTTCACCTGATGCCCTATTCACTGAGCAGTAAATAGGTACCTATGAGTTGGACAACTGTTGTGGGTTGCATTCTAATTAAAGTCAATAGTTGGCCTATGGGGGGGGACCTGGATAAGCTACTGGGTACAGGGTTCCTGTCCCCCAACAATGGGAATTACAAAAAGTGTAATACTATAACATTACTTTCCCAACAGTTTGAACTGCAGCTTGTACATGATGGGTCTGGTAAGGGGGCTGCTCTGGCCGCGTCCATCGCCGAAAGACTGCACAAGAGATCATTAACTGCACCTCGCTAGTTATGGTTTCCTAAGTATTGCTGTAATGCAGCAGTTTTGTATTTCCCCTTGGCTTTTGTATGCATATTTTTGTCATGGTTGCTATTAAGACTTCAGTACAGTGATTTAGTGTTTAGAAACTACAGTACAGGACAGATATTTTGAAGCTATATCTATTTTTCAAATAAATATTATATTACTTGTTTTGATTTTATTTGTTCTACCTTTGTGAATATTTTGATTCAAATACAGTATTTTCTTTCACTGGGAACCCAGTTTTTTTTTTTTATATAATTCTCACTTCATTGAAATTTATATTTTTGAGCCAAGGCAACTATCAGGGAAAAATGCCAAGCCATCATGACTATATGGCACTTGGAAGGGGTCAGAATAAAGATTTGGGATGGGACAGGGGGAAAGGAATGGTGCCCAACCACTTGGACGGTCAGGGATTGAACACCAACCTGCATGAGGCTAGACCGTCACTCTACCGTCCAGCCCAAGTTGTTGGTATTTTTGAGCCAGGCACATAAAGAACATGTACATATATGGTGTATGCAGTGGTCATTACATTCGGTTCATAATTAATAGGTTTGAGATTTGATTCCAGTGGTAGGATAGGTATTTGAGCATGTTTTCCTTTAACCTGCTGCCTCTGCTCATCTAGCAGTAAATAGGTATCCAGGAGTTACTCATCTGCTATGATTATATCATTGACCTAAGAACCTTGATAAGCCTAACAAGCTTCCTGTCCCAGTCAGCAGAAAATAATTTGCCAAAATATTTTTATTCTCCATAAAAAATGTATTTACCTCAAAAAATATTGCAATTATTAATTAAGGCTGTTTAGAAATACGTGTATGTATTGCTACTCTGAGAGGCGCCTTTTGGCGACTCCTTGATGTTTTTTACACCTGAGATGGCTACGAGCTTTAAAGACAACTGTAAGGTTCATGGAATCTAGAGGAAGAAATTGTCAGGCCATATAGAATCCAGATGATTGAGATCAAAGTATTTAGTCCATGTAGCAGGACCAAACAAGATGTGGAACGTATTAGCACTGGAAGGAATCGTGCGAGTGTGTCTGTGGAGGGGAAGGGGGAATTCAGTGCCGAGCACCCCCAGTAAGAGGGGGGTAAACAGCGCAGTTGTCACAATGAGAGAAGGAGCTGCTCCAGGTGATACCTGGTTGATACCTGGTTGATGGGGTTCTGGGAGTTCTTCTACTCCCCAAGCCCGGCCCGAGGCCAGGCTTGACTTGTGAGAGTTTGGTCCACCAGGCTGTTGCTTGGAGCGGCCCGCAGGCCCACATACCCACCACAGCTCGGTTGGTCCGGCACTCCTTGGAGGAATAAATCTAGTTTCCTCTTGAAAATGTCCACGGTTGTTCCGGCAATATTTCTTATGCTTGCTGGGAGGACGTTGAACAACCACGGACCTCTGATGTTTATACAGTGTTCTCTGATTGTGCCTATGGCACCTCTGCTCTTCACTGGATCTATTCTACATTTTCTTCCATATCGTTCACTCCAGTACGTTGTTATTTTACTGTGTAGATTTGGTACTTGATGAGGTGGTCACTACTGGGGGGCTTTGGTCTCAACCATAGAAGAGGGAGGGGAGCGGAGGGGGTAGTCGGAAGGGTCAAAGGAGTATATTGGTCTGGGTCCAAAGTAGTTGGGGGCTACAGTCTGGTCATCCAACACCATCCGACTCGGGGTCTTGGTCGTCCCCCACACGAGTCAGGGAAGTTATAGGATCATTCAGCGGCATAGAAATGTGCAGGTAATAATTTAATTCACGAATAACCCCCCCCATACCCACCATGGAGCCACAACTTGAGGATAGGACACCCGACAAAATGGGTCCCCCCCAGGAGTGCATCATGAGTACGCCCCGCACTCATTTGAACCGGCAGTTCGTCGAGATCGGGTTCAGCAATGAGGTCGAGGATTAACAATAAAAGCATCCCCCTTGCTCAAAACGTCGGGTACCACAGTTCTACGGGCGAGTGTGTGTGTGTCTCCCCAAACACCTGGGCGTCGAAACAGAAGATGTCCGAAAGTATAATCAAGACTGGCAGAAAGTTGGCAGGAAATGACAATTAGAAAAAGAGAAGAGAGGATGGGGGGGGGGGGGGAGGAAAAAATAAACATAAGGAAGAGGAAAAGACTTCCAGCACAATTTGTAAAGATGGCAGCAGGAGCATAAGGCTTCAAAAGGACAGAAGACTGTTCCATGGAGCATCACACTCTGGCAGCCACCCACCAAGCTCCCTCACGACAACAACGGGCTGGAAAGAGGGGGAATTCAATTTGTAGTGCATTCCATTTATTCACTACTCTGACACTGACAAAATTTTTTCTAGTGACTGTGGCTCATTGGGTGCCTTTGTTTCCAATTGTTTTCCCTTGTTCATGTACCACGTATACCATAGAAAATGTCATTTGTCACTTCCCCTGAGAATTTTGTATGTGGCAATCATGACACCACCTAACTTTTCAGTCTTCCAGGGTTGTAATTGTTTGTCTTCCTTCATAACTCATTTCTCTTTGCTATGTATTAATTTAGTGGCATAGCTCAGACTTTGATCAGTTTCGTTTTGTGTTTAACACTTTCGGACTTCGGACTTTCGGACTTTTGAGATAGGACTTCATACTGGTGTAGAATATTCCAAAACTGGTCTGACATGAGTGGCCTACAGTGTACGAAGTGGTTTTTTATTCCAACCCATTCTGATGGCAGTGGATATATGTTAAAGTAGGTTAATAAAAAAAAGTTGAAATATGCTTTATAGTAAGAAAGAATACACACACACTGGAAATGTCTTCATATGATTGCTATTTCAATAGATACAGGACTCTAAATGCCCGGCTGCAAGGTGAATGTTGCCAGCAATGACAGCATCAGAACAACTAAACTACCCACTTCTAGTTGTTTGTGCATTTTGAGGCTTGACAATTTTGGATTCTTGTAGATATGTCATCTTGATGTATTTTCCATGATGATGTAGCTTCTGCTATAATGATTACATCCACTTTTAAATATGAGGTTAAGTGATTAAAAGTAAATCATATGTTTGTATTTCAAAATCCTTTAAATATCCTTTTAAGGAAAACTTTATATTTATAAAAAGAGTTATTTTACTTGGCCTCGTATACTTTGTTAATCACCCATTACCCTATACAACACAGTAGGCCTATGGTATAAATCCTCTTCAGCTAGCATTGTCTCATGATAATGCTGCAAGAAGATTCTTGATTTTTACAATTTACAATGTGTATGAATCTATTAGAATGTTTGTCTGTTCTACCTAATATTATTAGAAAGAAACACTACCTAATAATAATAATAATATTTAGTTGTTAGAATATTTATGAGGATGAGTTGGGGAGATATATGTACATGATTTAATGCCTACTGGACTTATTGACGGTGGCACAACTGAGGAAATTTATTTTCTGATTTGCTACATTACTATTTACTAAGAGTGTTATTTATGGTAATGAAGTTGAAGTCAAACTTCCACCCACTGATTGTTTTTGTAATACATTGTTGATTATATTGAACTCATAAAATATAAAATTAAATATTATACTGTACAGTACTATATTCAGTAATAATACTGTAGTAAGTATATTTAAAAACTATGCAAAAAACATGAAATGGTACTTAATTAGTTGTTACAGAATATGTATAATAAAGCCACTAATACACAAAGCAATTTAAGCCTTAAGCAAGTTGAATTGAATGTCAACTGAATTTTAAATCAATAATCCTCCATGATTCAGTTAAAGTCAAAGACATGGTAATGTAAGTCTTGCTAAATTCATGATTAACTTGGTCCTCCTTATGAATTGTGAGGCATTTTCTATTCTTAGAAATGCAAGGACAGTTTAGCAGCAGGGATGCTGGTAACATTGTACAGTATTATATAAGCGGTAGCTTCAGGCTGCTTTCACAGCTGTTACATTATATGTGTATTTTGACGGGACTCTCAGATCTGTAGATTTTATGTCATTAAACTCTGTGTATTTTGATAATGTTTCTGTGTTATTTGTGACAACAACTTGAGGACTATCAAACCATAGTTGGTCAGTGTTTATTTTTGATACTTTTGGACGTTTAGACTCGTGCCCTCGGTAACTATCTTGAATTTCAGAGATCTCGCCAAATTTGCCCTCGGGCTTCAAAGAGGGACTATGGCGCCGGGCAATGTTTCTCTGAGCATCGTAAGTTTTGTATTTGTCATGAAGCTCTGACATTTCTCCAAACTCGCCTTCAGGTTTGAGTTTACCACTATGACGTTTGGCAATATTTCTCTTTGTTTCCTTTTCTCTATAACTATCTTTAACTTCAGTGATCTCACTGAAATCGCCTTCGGGCCTTAGTTTAGCTGTGTGGCGTTTAGCTATGTTTCGCTGAGGGTCGTGGTTTGTATATTTATCATGGAGCTCTGACATCCCACCAAAGATGCCTTCGGGCTTTAGTTTGGCACTGTGACGCTTAGCAATATTTCTCTGCGTCTCTAAATTTCTGTACTTGTCTCGTATTTCTGTGATTTCGCCAAACTGACCTTCAGGTTTTAGATTTGCCGAATGTTTCTTTGCAATATTTCTGTGAGTTTCTAGGGCCTGGTATTTGTCATGAACTTCTGAAGTCTCGCCAAAATCACCTTCAGGTTTGAGGTTTGCAGAATGTTTCTTGGCAATATTTCTGTGTGGTTCCACGGCCTTAAATTTGTCATGAACTTCTGATGTTTCACCAAAGTCACCTTCAGGCCGGAGGTTTGCTGAATGTTTTTTTGCAATGTTCCTATGCGTTTCAAGGGCTTGGTATTTATCGTGAACTTCTGAAGTTTCACCAAAGTCACCTTCAGGCCGGAGGGTTGCTGAATGTTTTTTTGCAATGTTCCTATGCGTTTCAAGGGCTTGGTATTTATCGTGAACTTCTGAAGTTTCACCAAAGTCACCTTCAGGTCGGAGATTTGCTGAATGTTTTTTTGCAATGTTCCTATGCGTTTCAAGGGCTTGGTATTTATCGTGAACTTCTGAAGTTTCACCAAAGTCACCTTCAGGCCGGAGGTTTGCAGAATGTTTCTTGGCAATATTACGGTGAGTTTCCAAGGCCTTGAATTTGTCATGAACTTCTGAAGTCTCGCCAAAATCACCTTCAGGTTTGAGGTTTGCAGAATGTTTCTTGGCAATATTTCTGTGTGGTTCCAAGGCCTTAAATTTGTCATGAACTTCTGATGTTTCACCAAAGTCACCTTCAGGCCGGAGGTTTGCTGAATGTTTTTTTGCAATGTTCCTATGCGTTTCAAGGGCTTGGTATTTATCGTGAACTTCTGAAGTTTCACCAAAGTCACCTTCAGGCCGGAGGTTTGCAGAATGTTTCTTGGCAATATTACGGTGAGTTTCCAAGGCCTTGAATTTGTCATGAACTTCTGAAGTCTCGCCAAAATCACCTTCAGGTTTGAGGTTTGCAGAATGTTTCTTGGCAATATTTCTGTGTGGTTCCAAGGCCTTAAATTTGTCATGAACTTCTGATGTTTCACCAAAGTCACCTTCAGGCCGGAGGTTTGCTGAATGTTTTTTTGCAATGTTCCTATGCGTTTCAAGGGCTTGGTATTTATCGTGAACTTCTGAAGTTTCACCAAAGTCACCTTCAGGCCGGAGGTTTGCAGAATGTTTCTTGGCAATATTACGGTGAGTTTCCAAGGCCTTGAATTTGTCATGAACTTCTGAAGTCTCGCCAAAATCACCTTCAGGTTTGAGGTTTGCAGAATGTTTCTTGGCAATATTTCTGTGTGGTTCCAAGGCCTTAAATTTGTCATGAACTTCTGATGTTTCACCAAAATCACCTTCAGGTTTGAGGTTTGCTGAATGTTTTTTTGCTATATTTCGGTGTGGTTCCATGGCCTTGAATTTGTCACGAATTTCTGATGTTTCACCAAAGTCACCTTCAGGCCGGAGGTTTGCTGAATGTTTCTTTGCAATATTACGGTGAGTTTCCAAGGCCTTGAATTTGTCATGAACTTCTGAAGTCTCGCCAAAATCACCTTCAGGCCGGAGGTTTGCTGAATGTTTTTTTGCAATGTTCCTATGCGTTTCAAGGGCTTGGTATTTATCATGAATTTCTGAAGTTTCACCAAAATCACCTTCAGGCCGGAGGTTTGCAGAATGTTTCTTGGCAATATTACGGTGTGGCTCCAAGGCCTTGAATTTGTCATGAATTTCCGATGTTCCACCAAAGTTGCCTTCAGGCCGCAGGTTTGCTGAATGCTTCTTTGCAATGTTCCTATGTGTTTCAAGGGCTTGGTATTTATCGTGAACTTCTGAAGTTTCACCAAACTTGCCTTCAGGTTTTAGGTTTGCCGAATGTTTCTTTGCAATATTTCGGTGTGGTTCCATGGCCTTGAATTTGTCACGAATTTCTGATGTTTCACCAAAGTCACCTTCAGGCCGGAGGTTTGCTGAATGTTTCTTGGCAATATTTCGATGTGGTTCTAAGGCCTTGAATTTATCATGAATTTCTGATGTTTCACCAAAGTCACCTTCAGGCCGCAGGTTTGCCGAATGTTTTTTTGCAATGTTCCTATGGGTTTCAAGGGCTTGGTATTTATCGTGAACTTCTGAAGTTTCACCAAAGTCGCCTTCAGGTTTTAGGTTTGCCGAATGTTTCTTTGCAATATTTCGATGTGGTTCCATGGCCTTGAATTTGTCACGAATTTCTGATGTCTCACCAAAATCACCTTCAGGCCGCAGGTTTGCAGAATGTTTCTTTGCAATGTTCCTATGAGTTTCCAAGGCCTTGAATTTATCATGGATTTCTGACGTTTCCCCAAATTGACCTTCAGGCCTAATGTTAGCAGAATGTTTCTTTGCAATATTTCGATGACTTTCCAATGGTCGGTATTTGTCTCGAATCTCTGACATTTCTCCAAACTGGCCCTCTGGCTTTAAGCTTGACCCGTGTTTTGGTGCGATAACTCTTTGTGTCTCAAACTGTCGGTACTTGTCTTTAATTTCTGATGTTTCTCCAAACTGCCCTTCTGGACGAATATTTGCCTGATGTTTAGGGGCAATGTTGCGATGAATACCAAGATCGCGATACATGTCATGAACCTCACTCCTTTGCCCAAAACTTCCCTCGGATCGTAAATTTGCTTCATTCATATTGACTTTTGGCAGTTTAGACTGAAATTCTGTATAATTATTTTGAGATACAGAAGGCTTTCCAGCTGCCACTAGATTTGTTTTCTGTCTCCAGATGACTGGCCTCTCCACTGGGAATTCACGGAATTTGTCTTTGACTTCACTTTTTTCTCCAAAGGTCCCGTTGGACTTTAAGTTGTCTGGGATCCTGTAAGAGAAGCGATGCTGGCCTCCAAAAATGTGGAACATGGAATTGTTCTCTGATGTGTTTCCAAAATTACCTTCACTCTGCCGACCAGTGCGTATTCTTTGCCCTTCGAGTCTGGAAGGATCGGTAGGTTGATAACTGTCTTGAACTTCACTTATAGTAGAAAGCTTTCTTGCACTCTTTAGACTATCATACATTGTACTACAGGTACCCTTAAGATTTTTGGTCTAGGAACTTGTCCTGGACCTTAAATTTCTCACTTAAGTCCCATTGATGATAGAGATTGTCCTTGATTTTATTCACTGCATGACTTATAACATTGTGACTTATATTTATGTTTAACTCCTGGTGTGTTAAAATTTATGTTTTGTAATAAGCTGTATTTTTAGCAAGCAATTTTTATTGCAAAAATAAGCAATTTTTATTTGTCCTGTACTTAAGTTACATTTCTAAGCTCAACTTTGTAACAGAGTATCACATCTCTATTTTGCAGCACGCCACTTAGCCCTCTTTTCTCCAAACTCAACTCTGTATTCTGTGTCTTTATCAAGATTTCCCTCTGTTGAGAGATTTGCACCTTGTTTCTGAACTACAGGACGCTGGGTGGTAAACTTGCGGTGTTTGTCTTGCTTCTCGGTTACTTCACCAAAATCTCCTTGTTGTTGCAGATTATCTTTGTATTTGATTTCTTTACGTCTTTGAGCTTCCTTTTTATCAAATTCCTTGTCATATTCTGTATCCTTTGAGAAACTGCCCTCAGTTGCTAGATTAGCTCCTTGGCGATAAACTGTAGGGCGTTGGGTGTCAAACTTGCGGTGCTTGTCTTGTGTTTCTGTTACTTCACCAAAGTTTCCTTCTTGTTGCAGATTATCTTTGTACTTTATCTCCTTACGTTTCTGGGCGTCCTTTTTAGCAAACTCTTTGTCATATTCTGTATCTTTTGAGAATTTCCCCTCAGTTGCTAGATTTGCTCCTTGGCGATAAACTGTAGGGCGTTGAGTGTCAAATTTGCGGTGTTTATCCTGCGTTTCTGTCACCTCACCAAAGTCTCCCTGAGGTTTCAAGTTGTCTGTTCTTCTTTGGGCAGTGCGTTTATCAGGATCTTTATTGTGGTACTGTTTGGCGTATTCTGTATCATCTAAAAAATCCCCCTCAGTTAAAAGGTTTGCTCCCTGTTTCTGAACTATTGGGCGCTGGGTATTATATTTGCGGTGTTTGTCTTGAGTCTCAGTCACTTCACCAAAATCTCCCTCTTGATGCAAATTATCTTTATATTTTATCTCCTTACGTTTCTGGGCATCCTTTTTAGCAAATTCCTTGTCGTATTCTGTGTCTTTTGAGAAGCTGCCCTCAGTTGCTAAATTAGCTCCTTGGCGATAAACTGTAGGGCGTTGGGTGTCAAACTTGCGGTGCTTGTCTTGTGTTTCTGTTACTTCACCAAAATTACCTTCTTGTTGCAGATTATCTTTGTACTTTATCTCCTTACGTTTCTGGGCATCCTTTTTAGCAAACTCTTTGTCGTATTCTGTGTCTTTTGAGAAGCTGCCCTCAGTTGCTAGATTTGCTCCTTGTCGATAAACTGTAGGGCGTTGGGTGTCAAACTTGCGGTGCTTGTCTTGTGTTTCTGTTACTTCACCAAAATTACCTTCTTGTTGCAGATTATCTTTGTACTTTATCTCCTTACGTTTCTGGGCGTCCTTTTTAGCAAACTCTTTGTCGTATTCTGTGTCTTTTGAGAAGCTGCCCTCAGTTGCTAGATTTGCTCCTTGTCGATAAACTGTAGGGCGTTGGGTGTCAAACTTGCGGTGCTTGTCTTGTGTTTCTGTTACTTCACCAAAGTTTCCTTCTTGTTGCAGATTATCTTTGTATTTGATCTCCTTACGTTTCTTAGCGTCCTTTTTAGCAAACTCCTTGTCATATTCTGTATCATTTGAGAAATTTCCCTCAGTTGCTAGATTTGCTCCTTGTCGATAAACAGTTGGGCGTTGGGTGTCAAACTTGCGGTGCTTGTCTTGTGTTTCTGTTACTTCACCAAAATTACCTTCTTGTTGCAGATTATCTTTGTACTTTATCTCCTTACGTTTCTTAGCGTCCTTTTTAGCAAACTCCTTGTCATATTCTGTATCATTTGAGAAATTTCCCTCAGTTGCTAGATTTGCTCCTTGTCGATAAACAGTAGGGCGTTGAGTGTCAAACTTGCGGTGCTTGTCCTGCGTTTCCGTTACCTCACCAAAATTACCCTCTTGTTGCAGATTATCTTTGTACTTTATCTCCTTACGTTTCTGGGCATTCTTTTTAGCAAATTCCTTGTCGTACTCTGTGTCTTTTGAAAAGCTGCCCTCAGTTGCTAAATTAGCTCCTTGGCGATAAACAGTAGGGCGTTGGGTGTCAAACTTGCGGTGCTTGTCTTGTGTTTCTGTTACTTCACCAAAGTTTCCTTCTTGTTGCAGATTATCTTTGTACTTTATCTCTTTTCGTCTTTGGGCATCTTTTTTAGCAAACTCTTTGTCATATTCTGTGTCATTTGAGAAATTTCCCTCAGTTGCTAGATTTGCTCCTTGTCGATAAACAGTAGGGCGTTGGGTGTCAAACTTGCGATGCTTGTCTTGTGTTTCTGTTACTTCACCAAAGTTTCCTTCTTGTTGCAGATTATCTTTGTACTTTATCTCTTTTCGTCTTTGGGCATCTTTTTTAGCAAACTCCTTGTCATATTCTGTGTCATTTGAGAATTTTCCCTCAGTAGCTAGATTTGCTCCTTGGCGATAAACTACAGGACGTTGAGTGTCAAACTTGCGGTGTTTATCCTGCGTTTCTGTCACCTCACCAAACTCCCCATCTTGCTTAAGATGATCACTTGCTCTCTGCCCTTTAGTTTGTCTGTCTACATATTTCTTATAGTATTCTGCTTCATATTCAGTATCTTCTTCAAAGTTCCCTTCATTGCTTAGGTTTGCTCCCTGCCTCAGCACTACTGGCCGGTGGGATTGGAATTGTTGATGTTGAGCGTGTGTTTCAGTGAGCTCGCCAAAGTCACCTTCAGGGGCAAGGTGGGATCCGTGCTTGTATATAGTTGGGCGAGAGGTTGTGTTGCTTTGGTACTGGCCCTGGTGCTCTGTTTCTCCTTCTAAAAAGCCTTCTGTACCAAGATTGTCCTTCTTGCGTCCAACCTGAAATATTATAATAATATGTCTCTAAGTACTACATAGAAGTCTGTAATATGAAAAATAATTAGTGCATTAATCTTAAATCACATGAGGTAGTGGGACAAAAGTTTGGAACACAAATATATCTGTGAAAAAACACACAAGATTAATTGTCCATCATTTAAGGGTTTGCTATGAAGCAACATGGATAAATAGATGAAAAATGAGTTAAATGAAGTAGAATTCATAGTTGACACATAAATAATTTGATTTTTGTATGAATAATAAAGATAATAATAACTAAATGTAATGGACAATAAAATTGTAGTAAGACAGCTTAAAGTGCTTAATACTTTTGAATAGCAAATAACTGCTTTAGATATTGAAATTATAGATTAGGGAATAAGTTAGGTAATTGACAGTGCCACAGTTTTTAAATAATACTACTGTATACATAAGAACATGATACAGGAAATGCGTATTAAATAAAGCCACTAATATGCAAAGCATTTTGTAGGTAAGTTAATCTTAAAGTTGGAAAGGATATTTTGAAGGTAATATTGTCAATATGACAGCTGTGATGTATATCATTATGTTCCACATACAAATCTTGTATTTGTCAAAAATGTATTTAATGACTTTTGCTGGCATTTTGACCATTTGAGAAGTTTTTATACATCCATTTAAAAGGGTTCGATAATCTTTTTTGTTTCCCAATTACCCATTGATCATTGTTGTATTATCTACTTCATGAGGTTATATTCCTTTGATTTGGGGTTTTTGGTGTCTCTCTTCAGCCTTCTCCATCTATTCTAGCTAGGTGTGATACTTTGGCTTTGTGGAGGGGTTCATTGGTGATTCATGCTTGTCTTGTCTGGCTGGGGATTCTTATGCACTGTCTTGTCGCGGCTCTGTCGCTACAGTACTTGAATCCTATTTAATGCGACATTGGCTGTGTTGGCTGTATTGGTTGTTGATCACTTAGTATTGGCTGTGTTGGCTGTATTGGTTGTTGATCACTTAGTATTGGCTGTGTTGGCTGTATTGGTTGTTGATCACTTAGTATTGGCTGTGTTGGCTGTATTGGTTGTTGATCACTTAGTATTGGCTGTGTTGGCTGTATTGGTTGTTGATCACTTAGTATTGGCTGTGTTGTTTGTTGATCACTTAGCTCTGGTCTCTTGTTCCAGGGCTTGGATGTATCAGGTAATCTGGTGTTAATTTCTAGACTGTGGTATCAGATTTGCCTCCTCTCTCCTCACATTAAACCCAGACCGATTTCTTCCCTTTTAGGGTATTGAAAGCTACCGCTGCTTCTTGGTGGCAATTTAGCTTGGGAAGATACTGAGGGGCACTCCCAAAAAACAGAGTTAAATATAATGAAATGTTTCTTTTTGGTAGTTTCCTCTGTAGCTCTCTGTCTCCACCCACACAGTTCTACTGTGATATTTGGAGGATAATTTATAATAATAATTCATTGTGTTTGGGGGACAGGCAGCTAGTGTGTGTTTATACATGTTAGGCTTATATCGAGGTAAGGTCGAATTACTGACCCTGCCCAAGATGCAACCCCACAACAAGCTGACTAACTCCTGAGTACCTACTTACTGCTAGGTGAACAGCTGCATTAGGTAATAGGAAATGTGCCCAACCATTTCTATTCTGCCCGGGATTTGAACCCATAATTCTCGATTGTGTGTCGAGAACAAACCTGACTGTACTACCAGGATGGACATTAGGTGGTGCAACAATGACTGGGGTAGTGTCCCAAGAAAACTGGTGGCCAGTGCTGCTACTTGGAGGAGTGCAGAAGTGATGGACCAGTGGTTCCTGAATTTGCCCAAGGGCCATTATGTATCTAGTGGCCTTGATTGAGACAGGAAACAGGCAGCTTGTCAAAGGCCTCCCCCTTAATTTTCCTGACAATTTTTTCTAACTGTATTTTGAATGGCAGTACAGTACAGTAATGTCTTTGCATTTATGGCTTCAGCAGGTAGGCAGTTCCATGAATTTATAACCCTATGGGTTTAAGTGCATCTACTTTCTGTTCTACA